TGTCCCAAAGCATGTCTTTTTTTGCTTATGTAGCCTTGGAAGGAGGAGTTTGTGAACCTGACTCATTCCCATATGATCACAGCATAAACTTTATTTTGCTCCCACTGTGATTAATATTCATGGAGGATCAGGCCACAAAAGAAACAACTGGTGTTGTGTTGTTTTGCTTTCATTCTAACATGCAGAAAATCTTCAACTAAAAATATCTTACTGACTCATAACACTGAGCAGCAATCTGAGAAGGTAAATGTGAAACAGACATGGTTAACCACAAAAAAAGAAAAGAAAAAGCTGAGCATGTTCACATGCAGAGTAAAAATAAAGGTTGAATACCGCTTTTAAATAAAAACATTTTTGCACCATCACTGTTCCCAAGAAACTTGTTAAGTGATTACATATCCGGTGCTTTTAAATCCGAACGGTATAGTTTGTCCTCTGTAATAAATAACTTTTTCTATTATCTGCTGTATGACCTCATGAATTCCTCAAGAACATATTCTTAATGACTTGCCTGTAAAAATACAGGTATAATAATAATTATGTAGGAATTTAGCTCATTTTTGCATGTCTTAGCATTTTTTTATATCTTCAGTTCTACATGTAGTTTATCAACATTAATAGCATCATAATGCATAGGAAAACTAATTTGATTCAAATTTAATATAAATTGCATCTTTATGATTTAGCACACATCCTGTTCAACTGATATGTTGCGGAGAAGTTTTTTGTGAGTAGTGTGGACGAATGTTTCAGACAGAAAAGACCACAAAGCCACGGATGCAACAATAGTCACGCATACAAAGACTCTGTAAACAGAAAGAGTTCTGCATTTGCCTGTAATAAAAGCTTATTATTAGTGTCATCTGTTTTAATAGGAAAACTCAATTTCTAGAAAGTAGTAGCTGTAGATGTCTCTAAGTTGAAAGAAACCAAGTGCTGCTGTTTGGACCAAATTTCTATGTAATAAGGAATATTTTACACCTGCAAAAACAGAACAACTTTATAGTGAATCTGTTTGTTTGATAGTAATGATCAGAAAATCTTCCTTATGGCATTCAGAACATAGTGATAATAACATTCTGCATCAAGACGTATGTAGCTGGCCATTATTACCTGAAAATATTTGACTTCATTGAATTTCTGCAAAGCAGTTTTCAAGTATTTGTCAAGCATTAACTACCGTAAGAAAACATGCAACAAATACATTCCATTTTCCCGTCATGCAGTCTGCACTTATTCACCATTGCTGCACTATTTCAGTGAATTAAGTCTATTTAAACAAAACAATTCAATAACTTTTCACAAAGAATGTAGAACAGGTCCAGTCACACAACTGCACCGGGCAAAGAATGTGTCCATTTTCATAAATTAAAGAATGAAACCTGTTAAGCATGCTAAAACTAGCCTCGTCCTAGCATCTATATGGCTGTTGATTTATGAGACCACCACTGATTTATGGCTCTTGCAGAAGGTGGAGATGAATTGCTCTTTCTACAACTTCATGGTAAGAGTTTTGATGCAGAAATATAGGTTCCCTTAAATGTGGGTTTAATATCAGAATAAAGGTAGCTGTTTACCTAAAGTCGTTTTAATCAGAGAAATTAGTTTTATTGGAAGGCATTGTGTTGGAAATTTAAGTTTTCTATGATTAAAAATTAAAATATAGGACACTTTGCTGAATCTTAATTAAAAATAAATACCACATTAGGCTAGTTATACTTTCAGCAAATTCTTAGAACAACCAATGGTTAAAAGCTTTAACGACCCCCCCTACCCACCCCCCTCACTGTAAAACCTTCATATTTAAAAGAGAATCTCCCACACAATGCAGATTGTACATCAGGAGGGATGCAGCATGTCTCTTCGGTTGGCTTTGAAAGACAAATCTCTGACAGTTTTCTTTTTAGTATACTGAAATCTCAAAATCTTATATTAAACTGGACAGTTGTTTAGCAAAAGATAAAGTGTTGCTCTACCATTGTTGCAGTCAAGAGCTACTGTCTGTCATAAAATAAGACCAAAATGGTGATGTCCACTTGGGAGAGGCACGCTGAAGAATATTTTACAGGTGAAAAAATTTTAAACTTATAGAACTTGATGAAGAACAATCAGCTTAGAAGTGCATACTGCCTCCTAATGTTTGAGAATATGTTACCAATTTTTCTTTTCAGCTTTGTATTCTGTATGTATATGGGAATTATGCTTTTATTACATTATTGTTTTCTTCTTATCACCTTATCACCTTCTGTTCCCAAGATTCCAAAAAAAACTCCAGTCTTATTCTGCCAGTTCTACCATTTTTCTTTAGTTTCTCTCTCTAACTTTAATACTCTTACTACTTAATTAGCACAGTTTCTGCACTTATGCTTATCCACAGCCGTTCCATTTCTTATTTTCCCTTTTATATAAAGAAAATAATTTAGAAATCAGTGAGCAGCTGAGGCAAACTGAAGACTTAGGATCTTGATAAACCTAATTTTGGAGAGGAGTCTGGTGACATTGGAATACAGCTTCATTTACAACTTTAAAACTGACTTTGACACATCTGCTTTGCCAACAATTTACCCCTTAATATAGTAAACTGATGCATTTCTTATCCCTGTGCCTCTCTAGGGTCATAAAATAATAAAGGCAATCATAGTTTTTAATGTAAGGCATTACCAACAGTCTTGAACAGTGGCACTGCTAGGGATTTTCAGCCCCATGAAAGGATATTTTAATAGACTGACTATTAGTGTCAATTTGTTTGCGCATGGAAAAGATTAAGTGTAACAAATGGATCATTGGCAAGTAAGATGTATTATTTAATTTAACCCTAAGCGTTACAACTTCCATGTTAAGCTTGGTTTTGCCAGAGGTTTCTTCCCAAAGGGGAGTTTTTCCTCTCCAGTGTCACTTCATGCTTGCTGGTCATCAGAGATGGCAAAAGTACTCACTTTCCGTACTTGAGTAAAAGTACAGATACTTGTGTTAAAAAATACTCTGGTAAAAGTGGAAGT